GTGAAAGACTTTTTTTTATTTTTATATCAGTCGCACTCTTCTTAACCATTTCAATGATTCTACGTTTTCTAATTTTCTCGAAAAGATAATTGTAAACTTAGATGTATATTTTGCGTTACTCATTTCTGATTGATATTATATTCATTGAAGAATTTTTGTTAATCACTCATGTTTATTATGACAAAAAGTTTTGAGAGGTTCTTATTCTTCACATACACGCGACAATATGACGGATGTCATTTGTTTGATTGTTCCGTAACCCGCCGATACGAAAGAGCTCGTCGCATTGTATCCTAAATTAACTCTTACTTTTACTTTTTTTTGTACTATAGAGAAATAATATATATATATATATATAGTCAAAAAATATTCATGTCTGGCAAACATCGGAAAGTCGTAATAGAAAAACAAACATGATCATATGTTTATTTCTTATTCAATAAAATTTTATTTTTTCAACTACTATCAAAATTTTTGAGATATTGAAGACAATCTCTTCTTTCCTCTTTTTTTTTCTTTCATGTCACTATCATAATTATTAATTAGTAACAATAGACAGAACACTATTGTTGATCACATATTTCGAGCACGTTCGACTTTAGATATGATTTTTTTTATAGAATCTTTAATCAATATCTATACCTCGAGACTGATGCATTAGTGATGCATTCATCGTTTTTGTCTCTTGTTTCCGACAAAAAGTTAGATATAAAAGTTTTATGAATTCAAACAGATCCAAAATTAATAACATCAATACTGATTATCAAAAAAAAAAACTAAAACATACATTGTATATGATTTATTAAACTAGTTTTATTCGAACACGTAAGTAAAGAGATAATCTACTAAGAATGCCTTGAATTTATAAAATTATATTTTTTACAATAATTTACAAAAGCGTTTCCAGCAATGCCTCTGAGGATTATTTTGTCTTGAGAATTTTTTAGATTAAAAATCTTTTATCTAATGATTAATTCATAAGTATTGTTATACATTTGCTTTAACAGATAACTTGTAAGTAAAAGTACCTACGGTTGACATAGTATCTGTCCATCTTTTAACGTTTTCTGTAATTTTGTCTGCTTCGGTTTTATTTCTACATATAAATCAGTTTAGAAAACAACAAGTTTATTAATACTAATTACGGTCATATTCATCAAAGAAGCAACAAGTGCATAATACCCTGAACAATCAGTCAATTATCAACAATTTGCTCAAGTGAAGTAATAATAATATATGTATAGAAATAACTAATAAAAAAAGATGACAATACTAATTTACATTTTTTGCATGCTTCTGTTGCAGTTGAGCTAATGATGTGAATTATTGTCTACACGGTGATTTATTCATCATTGCAACATTTTTCTAATTGTCTCTGTAAGTTAGATCTATATATAAAGCATTTTTTTAGTGAAAATCCACCAGTAGACAATAAAGGAACTGATGAAAAAAATTATTTTTCATAATTAATTAATGAACTTTTTTTTTGTTCTTTAAAAAGTAGAACAGTAAATAAGTAATGTGTAGGAGCTTAAATTATTAGATTTTTTTCTCTGAAATGTTTTTTTTTCTGGATTATACTCAATGATAAGAGCTTAATAAATGTATGTTTAGTTTTTATTCAGTAAATAGGTGAATAAAGAGATTCATAACGAGAGATTTTCTCAAGGAAGAATCTATTCTGGTTAAAAAAAAGTATTTTCGCTATTATAAAATTTTTCCAGATGTTTGTCGATCTTTTCCATAGTTATATAGATGCTACATGAATATGTAGTGTCTTCTTTTCTTTGTAACTGAAGTAAAGGGCGAATAAGCACGCAAGCCAAACTTATTTCCTGCTTTTAATCGTCCTTCTCGTATCATGTTAATATTTCAATCTCATTAGTTTCATTTCCTAGGTATCCTCTTCATTAATTGAGAAATATTACGGTGAGAGAGAGAACAAGAGAAAATCAGAATTTTCTTTCTATATCTTCAATAATAGTCATAATCCAGGAATCTTATTTTTCTTTTATATTCATTCTGACATAACTACATAAAAAAATGAAACTTTTCATCGGTCTTACACACGTATACATGTATATCTTTTCCAGATTATATTTTTTTAATATGAATACCGATAGCAATGCTATATAATGAATCCAAAATGGCCTGTTTTATGGAATGCTCGTGGTGCTAATATTTCTTTAAATTACAATTATGTTTTACCTTTTAATTTTACTTCTAATGAATCATTAAATAATATTGAGCAATCATTTTTTTCTTCGTCAACTGTTCTTTCAAATACAATTCAAAATCTAAGTTTATTAAAAAATCATACTATGATGCATGATATATTTTCGCCATATATTACAAGATTTATTCTTATATTTTTAGTCTCATTAATGACATTCATGACTGTATCAGGTAATTTGTTAGTTATCATCGCATTTATACGTGAACCAACAATACGTACTTATTCAAATTATTTTATTCTTAATTTATCAATAGCTGATTTACTAATTGGTCTTATATGGTATGTTTAATAAGTTCATATGGTTTTTTTCATGTACAAACAACAGAAATAGTAATCCAAGAAAGTCATATTTAATCTATTTAAAAATAGCAAACCTTAGAGCAAATAATAAAGCATTACTCTCGGTGTGAAGGTTTACTTTAGAATATGCCATAAGATACATCTACATTCCTAATTATCTATTCGTGCCATATTAAAAATAAGGAAGTGTATTATTTCTTAAGCTTTTTCTTCTGAATAATTTTCTATATTTTAATAACATTTTCAGACATGTAAGAATTTTTGTTAAGACGAAAAATCGCCTACGAAAATATTTCCTTTTCCTTTGTTAATATCTTTTTCATGCAGAAAATTTTTAATATTAATATTCATAATGACGTTTTTGTTTTTCTAGTATTCCACTTTATGCTCATAAATTAATATCTGGTGAATGGTATCTTGGTTATCATCTATGTAAACTGTGGCTTGTATTTGATTATGTTGTTGGTTCGGCATCAACACTATGTATTGTTGTTATTTCTTACGATCGTTATCAAATGGTATCGAAAGGATTAAATTATTTATCAGATATATCTATACGACGTGCATTAAAATTTGTTCTGGGCACATGGATTGTCGCTATTCTTAATTATGGTATAAATAAGTCTTAATTAATCAGTTTTTAGAGCATGATTAATCCTTTGGCATTGGGTTTTTCTTTAAAAAAAAGATACATAAATTCTGTTTGTTTTTTGTTTCATGAAAGCCTGCCATCGTATGTGTATGTGCCAAGAAAACAACAGATTTCGTGAATTATCTTCGAACTCTATAGTATTCTGGAATTATGCAGTAAAATAGAATGAGACTGTATCTTATGACATTCAGCGGATAGTTCGATAGAGAATTTTTGAAATCTCATAAAATCTAATATCTGATGATCTATAACATTAGAGCCTTAGTAATAATCACAAATCCATCAAATAACAATGACTAATATTAGTATAACAAGGAAGTACAATTTTCAATGAAGAAATTAATGAAGTATTCGTAAAGTTATGAATAGTTTTCTACAGAATAACAACTTTTATGGAAAATTATCCAAAAGTGTTTGAATGTGAACTTAATTTCTATTTACTGACGATTGTATTACCTTGTTTCAACACAGTTCCCCAACAAGAATTTGAATTCAACATTTATCTAGAGAATAATAGAGGTTTGAATGAAAACTTATTTTCTGCTCCGACATTAGACGCGTTGATAGTAAGAATCCTGGATTGATCTGACTTTAAGATTAGATGCTGACATATATATATATATAACTTCCATTGCCTAAGGATTAAGAATGAGAGTTTAATTGATTCTCGTTTGATACTATTTGTACTAAGATAGAAGCAAAATCTCACTTTAAAATTACTAATATAAAAATAACTTCTAGACTCATTTTATAGACTAGATAGTCATGATAGATAAGTCTGATCTATTATCTGAACTTCAGTCGATTTCTTATGCATACCTTTCAACTATTTTGCTAAGATTATTATATCGTTTGTATGTAAAGAATATAATGTTTCTAACTTATTTGATGTATGTTTATCTATATAAACATTAATCTGAGTGTAAGAATTTATTACACGCTACGTAAACTTTCATGTTTTTATTGAATGTTTCGTGACTTATCCCGATTACTATTTCATCTTTCTATGTAGAGATGTGCAAAAAGTATTGCTAAAATAACTTGATCAAGTCTCATAATTTAACTTGACAAGATATTTACTCAACGCTTTGATTTTTATATATATTTTTTTGATAATAGGTCCAGCAATCATATTGTGGGATTGGCTGCCCAATAGTGAACCATATCTATATCGAACATGTGGTCCACCATTTGCGAAAAATTTTCCATATCTAGTAACAACAGCATTTGTAGAATTCTTTGTACCATTTTTTAGTTTAACAACACTTAATTTATTGGTCTATTTAAATATACGACAGCGTTCACGTGGAATCATAAGTAAGAATGTAATTAAATTAAAATCTAATGAATCTGATGCAAATTTAACTGATAAAAATAAAGAAAAAGATCGAAAAAAAAATTTTCCAATCAGCTATTCGAAATCAACATCATTAGTACGTGACCGTAAAGCAGCAAAAAACCTATTTATACTCGTTTTTGCTTTTGTTATATGCTGGTGTCCATATACATTATTAACACTTATACGAGCTTTATGTAAATACGAAGATAAATGTATATCTTCATTTATATATGAAGTAACATTTTGGTTATTATGGTTAAATTCAACAATTAATCCATTACTTTATTCTTTTCTTCATGTTAAATTTCGTGAAGCTTTTTATCGAATAATATGTTTCTATAAACATAGACATCGTCATCGATCGAGAACAGATCAAATGTAATAAACAACAAATGCGATTTTATTTTCAAATTACAAGCAACTAACTATCATGAAAAAAAAACAATTAGGAATAGATGTAACTGCTTTTGTTATTATTGTAAACCTTTAAAAAAAAACAATACCTTTAATTCAACAGTTGGTTGTTGTTGAAATTTTGTAGTTGAAAACTTCAATGGTATTTCTCGTACTTGTGCACTTGCATTTGAAACAATAATAAAAGGTTTCGAACGATCCAATTTCTAATATAAAAAAAAAAGAACGTTTTTTTATTCTGAAGTTATTCTCTTTCATGTTTCTAAATTAATTTACTGATTGGAAATGATTATATCGTAAAGTAGCTTTTAATTGTATCAAAACACTATGACCAATAGGTAATGTATCAATATAACAAATAAACGTTTTGCATAATGGTCCATGACAATAAATTGGTAATGACGATCCTTGAGATCGATCAGTTGAAGATTGTTCTTGTAAAATAAAACTATTTGTCATTGTTGGACGAAATTTTTCGAAAAAAGAAGGAAATTTACTACGTTCATTTTCTACACGAGGAATTTGATATGTAGACTAAAGAATTAAAGAATAAACGACAATATTTTTATGTCAAATATATTTTCTTACTGAATGATAGATATGACAACGATCTTTATTTGCTTTTGGATCTGATACTCGAATAATATTTGGAAGATCAATTCCATATAACAATGATGTTTGCTCATTAAATCCAGTTAATGGAAGCATAGGCCACATAAATTTAACTTCTGTACGTTTTGCGTCACTTGGTCCTTTGTTATGTAATGTATATGTATGAACAATTTCTAGATCATCTGTTTTTGAAATAGTAGTATGTCTGACAAAAGTTTGATCTGGCGTATCAAAGACTATTTGTTCTGGTTTAGCAACACTTGAATAAAAAACGAGAAAAGATTTGATTGAATGTTAATGTTTTTCTTTTTTGTTTTACCTACCCAATTAAGACTAATTCTGGTGAACTAGATATTGGTATTATAATTTCTGTTGTTAATTTTGTTGAATTTGGATTATCACTAATAATGCAAAAAAATAATTGTTTAATAACCAATGAAAAAATACATGTGCAAAAACTTATTAAACTGTTGATAAAAGCAATAAGATAATCTTGTTTATGTCAGCTATTACTAATCAAGGTTTCAAAAGATTATATATCAATACCATTAACCTTTACTCATGAGAGAAACATCTGAACTGATATCCATCATTTGAACTTATGTCGAATCTATAAAAAACAAGGACTTGATGACACTAGAAAAAGTCTAATAGGATTAGTCAATATCAGTGATTGCACTAATACAAGTACAAATACTTTTTACTTAACTATTTTACTTATACTTAAGGACATTTTAGTGAAGATCATCTATACTTAGTACGGGTATTGAATGCAAATGAACTGAGTATACGGTACTTAAGTACAATGTTATGTTTTGCTGTGGCTATTATTTCTTCATAAATGTTTACTATTTTTGTCGTCTAATGACATCCATAGTAGCAAAACAAGAAGAATTTATTATTCATATTACCATTTTGTAATAGAGTATTGATATAGGATATTTGTCTTGTCATCATTCATACTCGGGCTGATATTGCCATCAAGAAGAAAACACATTTATTTTATGATTCACCTATTTATGTGTCAATTAAGTTTTGTCATAAATTAATTGTTTCATTCTTCTCATTTGCATCATCTACTGTTGGCAAATCTTTTTTGATAATTTTTCTGTTAACTTCAAACTTATTGGTTTCTTCTTCGAAGAATTTTAACTTATTGTTGAACTTCCTTCTACTGTTCGTGATTGAATAGTGCCGTAAAAAATGCGATTTTGTAACAATAAAACATTTTCTCATATAAGATTAATTGCAACGGAAACACTTATTCCATAGAATTTATATGTTCGTTGTTATCATGAAAGATGATTTGTGAAAAATGTCATATTTTCATTTGTAAGCTATTTTCAAATTCTTAGGACATGTTCAATAGATAGAATACACTTACAACCGTATGTGAAAAAGAAAAAATCAAAAAAAAAAATAATCTAATAGAATTGTTTGAGGAAAAGAAAAATCTCCTGTAATTTTATACGTATTACCGGTACTAAATATCCAACGATTCGTCTCCATGGGTCTTTGGTGTCGGGTTAGAATCGTTTTATTGAATTTCGACGACAAGTTTTGCATGTCGATACATTTAATTACTAGTAGAGTATCATGAAAGTTTCGACCGAAAAACATAGTTTTCTTTTGTCGAGATAATGAGTTTTCCGGTAAACATGGCTTTTGTATCAGGTCTATAGCAAGTAGAGCTCTGTGATTCCAAAAAAATTGGAACTGAGAACTGAACCGGATCCGAAATTTTTCAGTTTCTCAGATCCGGAATCGGAACCGAAACCGTTGGAACCGAAAACATTTTTTAATGGCAACTAGAGTCATTTATATTTTGTCGTTTTTCGATCACTTATGAAAAAAAATTTTTCATCCATTTACGGTACAGAATGCTGACTGTAACCGTACAGAAAGACACAAATAACTCACAGTAAAATCTCTCATGGTGGACACTCTGCTAGAGTTAACATCTCGTTGTAGTGAACACTTTCACGGTACCTCTTGCATTAACAATCTCTGTATAGTGGACACTAACTATGAATTCAAAGAGAATTTCGCAATGACTATCATCGTTGCATATGAACATTTCATATTATATGGATTTCCTCACATGTTTTTCTTTTTCTTGTATCTTTTGAAGGAACTGCTTTTCAATAAATTAATAAACATGAACAATAAAAAAAATCTAGAAATTTCTGAAAAAGCCTAATACAAATCACTATGTAATATATCACTAGATCAATGGTTCCCATCATCCCTTCTAGGATCCAAAAGTGAAACCGTTTTTCTTCAACTTTGCTAACCGGAACTGGAATCGGATCCGCGGTTCCGGTTCGGATATCGGATAGTACCTGGAACCGCCGGGCTCTAATGGCAAGCGATTATTCATTTTAGAAATTTGATATCTCAACAACAAAAAGAAACATTCTTTGCGGCTGAAACTTGTAGAATATTCTACGAGTCATTTCACTTATCTATTGGCAAAATTTTACAACAAAGTTCTGCTATTTTATTTTGCAGGAAATACCTAAATATAATTACTTCGAAATTTCAATACAACAGCTCTAATCCCGCTTCGAAGGTCCATAGGAACAAACAGTTTTTAAATTTGCAGCAGATTGAATGAACACGGATTGCAAGAAGTTTAATTCTACATTCTTTCACAAATATTTTTCAACGACAATACTTAAACAAACAATAACCAACGCCAACAAATGACGATCCTATGATTTGCTGAAAGATATTCGAGAAAAGTATTAATAAATTCTTCGAAGCGATTTTTTTCTCTATTTTGAAAAATCGATAATGTCAATGAATATTCAAGTAGTTTATTCTGCATTTTTAAATGTTAACGTATAGAAGATCAAATATTTCAAAACAGCTATATAATTTTAATAAAATTTACCTTGTAACATTAATCAAAAATACAAGTGGATCTGATTCTATAGCTGAATAGTTTTTCACCGCTGTATGAATTTGTAATGATATCTGAAAATTTTCAAACAAGAATTCTTTTAATTTTAAATCATAAATTATTGAATTTACATTTCCATTAGCCAAAAGTGGATTACCAAGTTGACAAACAATAATATGATCAGATTGTTTCATTAAATTACAATAAAGATTCATCTTAGCAAAAATATTAAAACATATAAAATTAAAGAATTTCTTTTAAAGTCTTTCTTACAATTGAACTTGAATTTGAACTAACATATTCAACTCCCGTCGGTAATTGTATAAAACATCGAGTATCATATGCATTCTCTCCCGTATTAATAACATTGATATCAAGAAGAATTTTTTTGGTTAAACCAATTTTATAATTATCTGGCCACCTGTAAATAAACAAATATTTTCAATAATTTCAATAAACATTTCAATATACTTTGCTGTTGATATTTGAAGATTAGGTATACATATATCATCTGAACCGCAATCTTTTTGTATTGGAATCTAAAGAGTTTATTATTTTAGCGTAAGTTTTTTTTTTCTTATGAAATGCGTTTTTACGTTATAGTCATATGAGGAATTTGCAGGATCAAGTATTGGTGGAACAATATTTGCATCTGACTTTGATGAAATAGAATAATCAATATGTATACGAATTGGTTTTAGTTTATCCCTAACATCTTCCTATATTGAAAAGACAAAAAAAAAAAAATAGAAACATTGGTTTCAAATTTATTAAATAATTTATGAGAGGATACTTCCTATAGCATGCTCTGAAATTTGATTAGTTTATACAGCGTACTTTCAAGTATTTGAATTTTACAATATCTTTTAGATTGAGTAAGATGTAATAGAAGTTATGAAGGGTGCATAATTTGGTTATTTAACGCCAGCAAGAAAAAGAATCCTTTCCAAGTGCTCCAATCTTGAAATATTTTCCGAGAAAAATTTGTTTATGAAAACTTAGCTACTGAGTTCCTGATTGAGGTTTTGTGAAAAGTTAAAGTTAAAGTTATATGCTTTAGCATTATTAGTTTTCAATGAAACTTTATATACACAGGTGAATACCTAGCCGGTATATTTCCTTCTAATTATAAAAAATTGGACGTTTTGTTAGAGAAGTATAAAAATAACTAGTAGTCGTAATTTTGATGTAAATTAGAATACGAGAAAATCATTGAAAATATCGAAATTTTAGAGTTAATTTTTTTCCTTACAGAGTCACAACAGACTCGTTTAGTTTTACCACCATAAAGAATTCTCATTTATTATTTACATGTATTGTTGACAATAAGGTGATCGATCGTAACTCCGTAAGAAAAAATTAATTTTAATTCTAAAATTTAGATATTTTCAGTGATTTTGGCATAACTATCATTTATATCAAAATTTTGACATTTCTTCAATTCTGTATTCCATTGTCTTGTAATTTGAAGATAATACATTTGTTAGATAGATACTTGCGCATACAAAGTTTGATTGAAAACTAATCATGTTATAATGTATAATTGAACGTTTCACAAAATCTCTATCACTCTCAAGCACATCTTGGATCTTGCAACATCAAGAAAACGATATTTCTTCTGAAAGAAAAGTACTATCATTCCAGAGAGGCACACCCAGTGAACAAGCTTTCATCAAAAAAAAAATTCGAAAGGCATCAGAAAAATCGAGAACTTGATAATGATTACTTTTCCACTAACATCAAATAATCAAATTTTGTGAATTCCATCACTCTTGATAGTTCTTACTCAACCATAAAGATATTGTAATATTCAGACATTCAAGGATACCCTCTATAAAGTAGCCAAATTTAAGCGCATACTGTAAGCGAAAGGGTACCCTCTTTCATGTCAATAGTTACGACATACTTTTATATATAACGAATAATCATGACAAAGACGATTTGATAATTTTAATTGTCGTTTTTTAAATGGTCTGTATGATTCACGAAATAATAATCGTTTATCAGCTTGATCTTTATCTTTATCAAGTTGTACTTCATATGTTAATGCTAAAAAAAAAGTAAACGAAATTAACAATCACTTTTTACAGTTGTATTTTTATTAGTACTAACTATCACGTTTCGAAGGTTGATATTTCGAATCATGAAGATAAATACATACAGTTAAAATAAAACTAGAAAAAAAAACGAAATACAAAATTTAATAAACAAAAAATCAAACACATGATTTCTTTACCATGCATCATCACTACGTAATGTACAATTAAGTGGAATTGTTGGTGAACTATGATGTAATTTTGTTTGTAAACGTAATACAGGTCGTGCTCTTTATGAAAAGAAAAAGAAATTTACAAAAAATAATCAATTTCAATAACATACAAAATGATAGCAACGGTTTCCGAGTGGATACTGCTTACAGCTAAATCTACAATTTATGAATAAAAATCATACATGATAAGGACATTCATTATATATGTTACCTAAATAACCATTGTTATCATAATCAAATTGACCTCGTAATGCCCAACCAAAACCTTTTAACGATGATATTCGAAGTATCTGAAAGAAATATCTCATTAATATAGAAATAAAAAAAGTTACATTGTATCTTATGAGGGAAGTCCTCCAACTGATTAATCGCTTTTGAGCCGGAAGCATATGCATCATATAGACTCTAATGAGTTATGCACAACCAGACAATAGTTTACGCTCATAGCTGATTACTGCTGACATATTGCATTTTTAAGGTATTTTACTATTCAATGTCGTGCTTCCCTTTCAAGAACATTAATTTTCAAATATCGACTTGAAACTTTGCATAGAAACACGTCTTAATACAAATAGTAAACCGTGAAAATGTTAAATCACTTGATGTATTTCTGTCCTAAAATAAGAAAATCGAATCTGTGGGTATATAGATATATATGTGATGTACAAGACCTGCTTTTATCATGACTGTAATTTGAGATAGAAACAACGAAAATATTTGAAACTTTCATTGTTCGATATATTGATAACTCATTAGAGTCTACATAAATCATATAATTCCAACTTAAAAGTGATTTATCAGCTAGGAGACTTTCTTCGTTAGTGTTTTTTTTATCACAAAACAAAATCTTCAATTATTTCTACACACTTGTGATGGTGTTAAAATAAGTCCATCTTTTGATCCACGATAAATATGTACCATATTAGATGAATCATGATTACCAAATGGAATTGAAATAGCTACATCTAGATACACAGAAAATAATGACTTAAACAATATTAATTGATTTATTTTCATACCATTATAACCATCTTTATCAAAATCACCTAAATTTGCTAATGCATGTCCTAATCGACCTCCTTCTCGTGTTCCTTCAATACTTTGTTTTCTTATAAGATTATGCTAAATAATTTCAATCATAAATAATTCTAATTTCTGAAAGAAATATTAAACCTCAGCTGTTTGATAAAATATATCAACTCGACCAGCATCTGCTATAATTCGACCATCTTTTTTTACTGTATAGAAAGGTGCACCGACTAATAAATCATCAAGTCTATTAAACAAAAGAATAATTTTAAAAAAAAAGAAACTGAAGAATTAGAATTAATTTCAATATTTACCCATCATTATTAATATCAACAACACATAATGATGAACCAAAATATTCACCCATTTGTGAACCATTTAATGTTCGAATAGAATATTCATCAAGGTTACTGTTCATGATTTCAATTGCTCCACGATAATTATCTAATTTTGGTATGCTAACAACAATTTCTATTCGTCGTAATAATTTTTTATTTATTTATTATTAACAAAATAAATATGCTATTACCTTGATTATCATCATTATTAAAATTTCCTACGGCTAATGCGTAACCTGAAACAAATACCATATAGACTTTAGATTGATTATCAATAAAAACTTTCTTGATTACCTCGATAGCACCAATCATCATATTCATTTGATGAATAATTTGATGGATATCGAAGCCAACCAGCATCACGCCATTGATAATGTGGAGAAGTAAATGGATGTCTTGTATCAATCCAATTTTTTTCAAGTATTGGAATTGAATGTATGCCTCCTAATTAAATATTTATTCATTCTTTTTTTTCTTCAAATTTATTATTTCTTTTTTCTTACCTCGAAAATAAAATGATCCTGGTGCTGTTATAATAATACGCTCAGGTTTTTCACTCAGTGCTACTTGAAAACCAAATTCACCATAACCTTCTTGATTATAATTTCGAGAATCTAAAGATATATCAATTGATTTTTATATAAAATTTATACAAATAAAATACATACGCCAATTGAGAAATGATGGAGAAAATATTTGTGTATCATCCAGCATTGATAAGGATGTACCATATTTTCCAATAAGTGCACCACCTGGTATTTCATATTCAAGATTCTGTCCATCATTTATACGATGTTTAAGAAATGGTGCACCTGCCTGAATAACAAAAAATAAAGACAAACTTCTGTATATATTTTCATTTCTAAAAGTTAAATCAAAACTTACTATTACATGTCCATCATTAGCTGCTAATGAAGCACCTAACCATTGATTTGTTTTATTATCATATGATGTTCCAACACGAACATTTGCTTCACCTAAGAATGCAAATAAACATGTTTAATACAAAGAAAATCTTCTTTCTATTTTGTTTACCATTACGACGAAAGGGCATACGCTGACAAATTGTATCTGAATGAAATTGACATTTCCATACAGCACCACGTCTTGGTATAATATCATGTGGAGAATGATCACGAGGTGCACCGACAAGTAAACTTTAGAAGAGAAAAAAACACAGATTTTCTATAAATATTCAATTTATCTAGATTTTACCTTGATCGATGAACAGCTAATGAATAACCAAAATATGATGGTTTATGTGTAAATTTTTCTTGTCTTAAATATCTCCAATGTTCAACTGTCTGATAGTTAAATGAATAGAGCGAAAACATACACGATGAAAAAATAAGAATATATAATAACATCATAAATTTGTAATTAATATTCACTGTTTTATATGAATCAATAAATGAAAAATACTATCATTATTTGACTCGAATCGATCTCGATTTATCATCTACAAAAGAAACTAAGAAAATTGCTATAGTTAAAATAGGAAATCAAACGGAAAACGGAAGTTCTAACCGGTAAAAGAGGACAGGAGAAAGAACGGCTATTCTTATTGATCGCCGTCTCTTTCGTTTATTGTACTGAAGTTAAAACGAGAGAGAACAGGGGGAAAAAGTTCAAAGTCGATAAGAATTTGTACGTATGTCAAAAAAGAATGAATGACAAAATCACTTATAGTTGTCTTTTTTGACATGAAAATGTCCGGACAACTAAATATGAACAATTGAAAGAAATAAAATGTATAATATACGTATATATATGTATAATAAAGAAAAGAAAGAAGCGCAACAACCATCAAGATGATGGATTTGATAAAAATCAGTTTTAGTTGTACAAATTAGTATACAATCGAAATGAAGATAGCCGAACATTGACTTTTTTTCTTTTTACTTTCTCAGCATCAATAGATCGTTGTCGTTGTGGTTGTAATAATGATGCAATGTATGCGAGAATATTGAGGCACCTATTCATTGTTTCTTATCAATATGTATTGATATATATATATATATATATGTATATATATACATACTGATAACGTGTTGCTCCTATATCATCCTTCACACCTCATCTTTCAAATGTCTTTCTTGTCTTCTTACCTAACTTCCTTCTTCTTTCGGCTTCTTCAAATCAGTCGATGATGTGTGCTCGTGTCGATAGGTAAGTGTGACCATAAACATAAAGTAATTGTCCATTAGTAGAAAAGTAATAGTAGTAGTCAACGAACGCGAAGATATCACTACGCATACGGTCAAGGCTTGATTGAGGAACGTACACACTCATATTATATATAGATGATGTTGACATGTGCATGTAAGCATACGAGAGAGAATAGAAAGTATTGACCGCTGTTCTATGCTCTTTGATCTTAATAAATTGAAGGTAGACTATAAGACTATAATAAATGCTAATATTATTGTTAAAGGTAAAATTTTCTATAATGAATAAGTAACTAATCATAATATTGTATGCTTATGCATTCAAAAAACAAAAGTAAGAAGAAAGATCGATGACCTTTTCATGAACATTTAAACTGATTAAACACTATTTCTTGTGCATAGAAAGAAGTGTTAATTAAGTAAGTAATATGGAATAAATAAATCAAACTTTATGAACTACTACAACTGTTGGCAAATATTGTCTTTTTGAACTATTTTATATGTACATATACTATACAATTTCTATGTATACAAAATAAAAGTTGTTTATATTCTGTCAATTATTCTTTTAATCCTATTATAATGAGATTTCAATTGAAGATAGTATATAAGCATATGATGCCATAATAGTTAAACAATAACACATATACAAACCTAACAAGATGCTGTTCAAAGAATACAAGTAACTATAGATGATAGCATGTTAACGAGTAAACTACACAGTAGGGAAGTTGCTGGTGATAGTCATGGTGGATTATACATAGAATTGTCTTAGAGTAAACATTGCCATTTCAGTCTAGGAGTGTATTTTGTCTAAGAGAATATGAGACGAATTTCCCCGAGGAATGATTCATTTCTTTGAACATTTCTCCGTTTTCCCATATGTATATTTTCTAACAGAACAGAAAAAAACGTGATTCATTTAACTCGTTTGTGACATCAACCGTATATTTAAGCACAATACGCACATATGTACATACATGAATTTATTAAGAATCATATACGGTTGACATGGTAAATGAGTTCAATACTCACTCCAGATGCTCTTTTCGCTTATCTGAGCTTACACATAAGTTATGCAAGTTACTTGTTGTCTCTTCATTTTCTAATCATCCAAGCAATCTTTTTTTTCTTTGTCGATCACAAGGGAAAAAAAAGTATAGCAGAGCAAGGACATTGGTGCGTATCAAAAATCTTATCACAATTTATTCCTTTCCAATATTACTATTTACCTAATTGTGGCCACATTCCATATATTTGTTTAAGCTAAACCGATTCCTGATGTATGTCTATGTTCATCAGTATAATTTATCCATTATGTAGTAACCTAAAAAGAGATCGATCGTGGTACACTATTTGTCGAAGGAAAATATACGTATGTACACACGCACGTCTTCATTTTCTTGTTGACGGTACCAACAACGCTCAATCAATGCATACATATATATATATACGTATGAGAGATGAATATTTGACATGAGGAAGAATGAAGAGAGAGGAGAAACAACGAAAAGCTGCTCTCTTCTACATACAGATAGACGCGATTGGTAACAGAGTATACATAAACAGAAGCCGCAACTGCTGTTGCTTCGGTTTAATGACTCGGCGATGAGATGATAATGACGATGTGCGGCAATATTAGATGATTATTTTAATGGAAAAATAGCACGCTGCTTATGTCAAGACGGAAGTCGATTGCCGACGTTTTCTATCATCCAATACAGTTAACACTTCTATTGTGATAAGGTTGCGTGCACGTTTCCTTCGTAACAATGAATATGATCATTAACACTTTGTGTGCACAAAAAAAACAAAGAACAATATTTGCGTGTGTTGGGCCATACTTTAATATTTGTAAGTACCGTTACTGTAGGAAAAAAGATTAAGAAGGAAATAGATGATTGATCACTATATATGTATATGTTCAAGTAAGATATGTTAGTAAGCATTTGTACATATCATTCTTTATAGGTAAGAAATTAGAGTTATGTAGAAGATTACGTTGCAAGAATACATACGCAAATAGTCATTTTTGTTTCATTGTTTCTTTTTTTTTTATGACTACTTCAGTTAATGATAATGATGATGATCATTGATGTTAAACGTGAATGAATAGTTGTTTAAATGAGGAAGCAACAGGCGAAGAATAGCTGTAAGGAAGAGTGTTCAATCTCATTGTTGTTCTCAAGTGGCTTACCATCTGTCATTATGCTGAATAAACGAAACGAGCCGACCAGCACATGATGCGTCAATATAATCATATATCGAATATATGATGAGTAGCAATAAAACATATATGTATCTCATAGACTTTGCTAAAAGAAATGACGGCTACTAACAATGATGATTGGAATAGTCATTTAATATACTATATACATAGAACAATCATAATGTTCAATAATAATCTTTTGACATGTATATACTAAAAAGAGACGTACATAAAAGTCACTCGCCTATCATCACATTCTATCATATGTTAAGTCTTTTTTTTTGTTTTTATAAATATACAAATCAAAGTAATCAATATAATATGATCAATTTAATACTGTTCTCATACTTACATCGATGTGTATATTGTTCCCCTTTTGCCAGCTGGTACAACAAGCTTTTCATTAACACAGACAAAAGAATCGAACAAAAGAGAAAGAGAAAGAACATGTTTATTGATCATACCAAACTGAATATTACAATTGTAGTTGTAGTAGTAGTAGTAGTAGTCACAGTCACTGTTGGAGCCAGCGTGTTAATGAAATGTATTTGCAATCACGCAAAGTACAAATTGTGCTGTCTTGTTCATTCAACAAGAAAAAGTACAAGTTGATAAGATCATAATTATTAATCACATGCAAATGTGACCAAACCTTGACAGGGTTACTATGTAAAAATGAATCATGAGTTACAAATTTTTCTCTTGTCGTGTTTGATGTAATCAGATGTTAGAATTGTGAACCAAAACCAATATCATGTAAAAATTCAAAAGGAACTCTTCGAAAAAGATACTAGTGGAACATGTAGTTTAATAAGATGTTTTTATCATTTAGTTCTTTCCAAACTAATCTTCATTATTCTATTTAATTCTTAACTGTAGAAAAGTTTTATTATTAGTCTGAATGTATTAATACTTAATATGGAAATAATGAAACAATTCTCATTAGAATTCGTATCAAATAGATATTGTGCTAATCGATTTTGATTATGTCTGACTCACGAGAAACCTTTTCAGATATCAAATCGCTTTGTGACTGAGACAATGTTTATTCAATGAGTACAAGTGGATATAAGCTGTAGTCCATCTAAGTTACGTGGAAAGTTGACTTTCGACTTCAAATTTTATAAGAATGAAGTTTTTAATGAGATTAGTTCATTGGGTAAATTGTAATTTTTCAAGTATCTTCTATCCTGAGATATTCAATATTTGAAGTTCTCTCATGTATAAAAGACAGATTTTGTTCATATACTTATATCTCCAAAAAGAAAACACTAGTTGCACAATCAACTAATCTCATTGAGAGCTTTGTGTGTAAAAAAGTTTAAAGTCGAAACCAGAGGTGCAGAATCTGCCCGTCTGCGCGCACGCGCGTGCGGGGAAATTTTTTGTGTGTGGGGAAATTTTTGAAAAACTATTGACTGCAGTAAAAGTTTTAAGAAATCATTGGCTGTAGGAAACAGAGGTGCAGAATCTAGTTGCATGTGCGTACGGTAGTTTGAGAAAATTTTTTATTTTTTTGGAAATTTTTGCTAGTACTGCTGGGGAAAATTTTTCCCTCGTGCGGGGAATTTTTTTATTTTAGCGGCAGATTCTGCACCTCTGGTCGAAACTCTCTCGTGATCGAAGGGGGACCACAGCTATTTTGTTGACAAAATCCAGTAGAATTTTGATATCTAAAGAGCGACGGCTATAAAAACAAAGAAATGATAAACTTTTCTATTAGTAACCACATAAGCGTCATTTCAGTCGAAAAGCGACTTGACATCTGGAAAGGTTTCCTTATCAGTATTGTTTTTTTTTTACAATGTTTATTTTTATATCAATGAGCCAATGACAGAAAAATAATCGTATTTAATTATATTAGAAAGTATTTTAAAGAAAAAAAAAACAAAACAATCACATATCGACAATAAACTCCATCGTTATCATAAATCAAGCTGTATCATTAATATCATTT